TACTGACGGCCTTCGTTTTTCCCTCGTGCTTTCAATATGTTCTGTGAGTGTCGAATTCTCCAAACTTTTTCCTCATTTTGTGTTTTCTAAATTTAAACCGTCTTTTTCTGGTTCTAACTATAATTGTTCTTTTTGTTTCCATTTTACTTCCATGTTCAAACTACATTTCTGTTGCCTCTACTCTTCTCCTCATGTATGAGGATATTTCCCAGCATTCAGTACTGATGAGAAAGTTTTCTTGCACTTCATCGCCCACTTTTTATGTTTCTTCTTGTGTTATTTTATTGAATGACTTGAATGTCTTTTAGCCGATGTTCGTATCTCGCCTTTTGATTTAAATTCACAATGTCAATTTCTCCAAAACTTTTCTAGTTGACCAATCAAATTTTCTCAATTTCTTTTGTAATCATGCTCTTCTTTAAGCTTGTGAAAGTCCTTCGTCGAACGTCGGCTTTCCCCAGATTAATGGAGAGGTATGTGCAATTACACTACCGGACTGTCCCAATGAGTGTTGGTAGGAGTGGAAGTTAACACGCTTGGGTGATTGTCTCTTTTTCGATTCATGATCGCCCACTTGGATATTTGTATAAATGAATGCAACCAACCTGGGTGAAATTCGAACTCGCCTCTCCTTTCTCTCATCCGTTATCCATGACACCACCGGCATATCCAAGCTTACAGCACCTGGTATTTCCAAGCAGTCACCCATCTAGGTACTGTCAAGGTTAGATGTTGTTTAACCGGTCGTACGCCGTTTGCAAGGCTTACTCCCATTACTGAATATTTTTAAGCTGCCTTCTCTGTTCTCTGTTACGATCTATGGCAATCTTGGTATAGTGATTTTCCAAGTGTAGCTTCGATGTGGCACAAGGCCGAAAGTATGGGACACCCAGTGATGATCGAACTCACTACTAACTCATAATTGTTCTAACTATAACACCAACCCGAGGTGACCACAGCAATCTTGGTATATATGATATTGAAAAATAAATGTGTAATCACACTGTTACATATATTTATATCCAGTATGATTGTTAAAAAAAAAGCTCATACAGTCATAATTATTGTAAATATCTTCACAGAATAGATATATTATCAGCAAAAATTCACCTGTTATATCCACCATATAGATATCTTGAAAAGATTATGAATATCGCTTGGCTCATATCAATTTTATTCTGAAAGCATTTTGGACAATATAACGTGATCTAGTGTATATAAATGATTGCGTTAAAGTAAATGCACGAACACCCACCTGCATTCAGAACTAGAGAGCAACGGCAAGGCGAACGGACTTAAAAATGTCGTTTCAGCTTCTTAAATATGAGGAGAATATTGCCAAGATTTTTTTTTCTTAAATGATGAGCAGACATCAACAGTGTCAGTGAAGAGATACAAAAGCAGATAATATCAGCATAAATCGACATAGTGTGAAGAAAAGAAACAAAGAAAAGGAAGTTGTTTGGAAAACAGAGGAGAAAGAAAAGGAATGTGAAAAAGGAAGGATTATTGGTCTTAATAAAGAAGGACAATAAAAGTAATACGCAGATCAAATGAGAACGTGAGAGAAAGAGCAAGAAAAGATTTTAAAAAAAGAAGAAAAAATATTTAAAAGCTAATAGAATGAGAAAAATAAGAACTGAAGTAAAAAGAACAGGGAGTAAAAATAAAATGGCAGAGGATGAAATGAGAACGTGGAGAGAGAGAGACAGACAGACAGAGAGACGGAAAAAAGAAGAAATAACAAAAAGACTGAAATGTTATTTTAAAATATGTAAAGGAAAAAGAAAATGAAAAGAGAGAAAGTAAAAGAGAAAGGAAATTTGAACTATAATATTAAAAAAAATGAAGGAAAAAGAGAAAAATATAGTATTCCTGGGTGGATCAAATTATTTTTCAGTCGTTTAACAAAAGCACATTTAAAAACTAAGGAAGTCTTTATCAATACTGGCAACAGCGAAAACTGGACTTGGGAAACGAATTTTCCTGAAAAATTGTTTTAAGAGAAAGATTTTATAATTTTCAACGGATAGAAGTGACTGGCTACACGGTCAGTGGTGATTTTCTAAGCGTACCTTAAATGTGGCACAAAACCGGAAGTAAAGAGGATCCGGTAAACTCACTATTCAGTACTAATTGATTTAGAGAAGCTTATTAACCATTACACAATGTCGAAGTACCCGGATGTACGGTCAATAAATACCCAAATGTTTCCTTATAAAGAAACGGCTAATATTGACAATACCCTTATGATTACACTTCTTTTATGTGCTGTATCACTTCAGGATGTGGGCGATCATTGCTCTCCATAACTTCCTTATCATTTGTATCTATTAGCATTTTTTATTTCTTGTTTATTTTATAGGCTAGAAAAGTATTATCGGAATGACTATTCCAGACGGAACGTGGATTTGGCACAAAAGAGTATAAAATAGAAAGCGTTAGGTAAGCTTCTGAACACATATAGGAATTCTAAGGAGGTTCTGCATTTGAGAAAACGCAAAAATACTTTTGATACACTCTAGTAAGAAAGAGAAACTCGAAAAAACGTGCAAAGGAAAAAGAATAAAAAGAAAGGAAATGATAGGAAAAGACACGAGCAGGGGAAAAACGAAATAACTAATGGCTGAGATAATTACGTCTTTTCCATTAACACCTGTCGCCTGTGTTCGAGCTCTAATAAAAGACAGCGGGTCGTATTTTCCACAACAGGAAAACCTTTTCGATTTCTTTTCCGTCTTACTCCTACTCCTCTGCCGCAATTTGACATAAATTTGTACTTATGCACTGTATCTCCTTAGGACCTGGACGATCATGGCTCTCCAAAGCTTCCTTTTCTTTGTAACGCTAGGAAAAGTCTTTATCAACTATCCTTATTTATCCGGCACAGAAGTTAACCAATAGCCAATGAGGGTTTATTGGGGAGTGGTTAACGCCCCTCCCCCAATGCTAAAAGTGAAGGTATAATTCTTCTTATTTTAGACAGAAGGTTCTCAGTCCCGTAGATTCCAACCCTGCGGCAGCACCTCCTTCATTGCACTAAAGAGGTTGGGTCAGTTTAACACCGATGCCAGCATGACAGTGGTCGCGGCGGGGATGTGCAAAACAAGAATAAATAAATAGTCAACAAAATTTCAGATTTTAGGCGGAGACCTTAAAATTATAGAATTGAAATAGACTTTAGAACCGGAAACCCAATCCTAAACAGAAAACAACGAATAAACATAAAGAAATTTTCTAGCATTCACTGCTATGCATGATAAATATAACACTGCAGTTTAGCAATTTTTTTTTGTTGGGGGGGGGGGTATCTGTTAATATTTTGTTTAGGTTTTGGAAATTTACTTCCGCTAATCCAAAGACCCTTCAGATTTCTCCGCCACGTTTTCCATCTGTTATTGTTACTACATTACCCAGATAGTTAAATTTCGGCGGTCACTTAATTTTGGCGTCCCGATTAGGCAGTTCAGATCCTGGGTTGTCTCTTTTACTAACAACCACGTTTTATATCTTTTTAGAGATAATAGTCCCTTCTTCTCACTTTTCTTTACTACCTTGTCTAGTTGTTCTTGCAGTTTTGTTTCTGAGTCTGTATCAACAAAGTGTCATTTGTGTATCTTATGTTGTTAAGATTGTGTCCGCCGACATTGAATAGGCACCAGCTCTTTTTAGTGGCTGAGATAGTAACGAGCTGATTCATTTATGAAGACAGATAGACCGTTCTAACTACGACGATTTTCTTTGAATAATCTTATATATCGTACTGAAACCTAATTTGAGCTTGCCAAACTCAGCTATGCCGAGATGAAGAAGAAAAGAGTGAATGAACAAAAAAGAAAAAAATGAAAAAGAAAAAGAAAGAATTAAAAAGAATGAATGAAAGAAAAAGAAAGAAAGAAAAAGAAGAGGACGAAAGGAAGAAGAACACGGAAAATGAAAGACAAAAAATCAAAGAATAAAAAAAGAAAGAAAGAAAGGAAGAAAAAAGAAGGAAAAAGAAATACAAAGAATGAAAGAATCAAAAAAAGAAAGAAAGAAAGAAAGAAAGAAAAAGAAAAGAACGAAAGGAAGAAGAACACGGAAAATGAAAGACAAAAAATCAAAGAATAAAAAAAGAAAGAAAGAAAGGAAGAAAAAAGAAGGAAAAAGAAAGAAAGAAAGAAAGAAAGAAAAAGAAAAGAACGAAAGGAAGAATAACACGGAAAATGAAAGACAAAAAAATCAAAGAATAAAAAAAAAAAAAAGTAAGGAAGAAAAATAAGGAAAAGAAATACAAAGAAAGAAAGAAAGAAAGAAGGAAAAGAAAGAAAAAAAAGAAAAGAACGAAAGGAAGAAGAACACGGAAAATGAAAGACAAAAAAAATCAAAGAAAAAAAAAAGAAAAAAGTAAGGAAGAAAAAATAAGGAAAAAGAAATACAAAGAAAGAAAGAAAGAAAGAAAGAAAGAAAAAGAAAAGAACGAAAGGAAGAAGAACACGGAAAATGAAAGACAAAAAAATCAAAGAATAAAAAAAGAAAGAAAGAAAGGAAGAAAAAAGAAGGAAAAAGAAAGAAAGAAAGAAAGAAAGAAAAAGAAAAGAACGAAAGGAAGAATAACACGGAAAATGAAAGACAAAAAAATCAAAGAATAAAAAAAGTAAGAAAGAAAGGAAGAAAAAAGAAGGAAAAAGAAAGAAAGAAAGAAAAAAAGAAAAGAACGAAAGGAAGAAGAACACGGAAAATGAAAGACAAAAAAATCAAAGAATAAAAAAAAGAAAGAAAGAAAGGAAGAAAAAGAAGGAAAAGAAAGAAAGAAAGAAAGAAAGAAAAGAAAAGAACGAAAGGAAGAATAACACGGAAAATGAAAGACAAAAAAAAAAAAGAAAAAAAAAAGAAAGAAAGTAAGGAAGAAAAAAGAAGGAAAAAGAAATACAAAGAAAGAAAGAAAGAAAGAAGGAAAGAAAGAAAGAAAAAGAAAAGAACGAAAGGAAGAATAACACGGAAAATGAAAGACAAAAAAATCAAAGAATAAAAAAAAGAAAGAAAGTAAGGAAGAAAAAAGAAGGAAAAAGAAATACAAAGAAAGAAAGAAAGAAAGAAGGAAAGAAAGAAAGAAAAAGAAAAGAACGAAAGGAAGAAGAACACGGAAAATGAAAGACAAAAAAATCAAAGAATAAAAAAAAGAAAGAAAGGAAGGAAGAAAAAAAAGGAAAAAGAAATACAAAGAAAGAAAGAAAGAAAGAAAGAAAGAAAAAAAAAGAAAAGAACGAAAGGAAGAAGAACACAGAAAATGAAAGACAAAAAAAATCAAAGAATAAAAAAAGAAAGAAAGTAAGGAAGAAAAAAAGAAGGAAAAGAAATACAAAGAAAGAAAGAAAGAAAGAAAGAAAGAAAGAAAGAAAGAAAGAAAGAAAGAAAGAAAGAAAGAAAAAGAAAAGAACGAAAGGAAGAAGAACACGGAAAATGAAAGACAAAAAAATCAAAGAATAAAAAAAAGAAAGAAAGGAAGGAAGAAAAAAGAAGGAAAAAGAAATACAAAGAAAGAAAGAAAGAAAGAAAGAAAGAAAGAAAAAGAAAAGAACGAAAGGAAGAAGAACACAGAAAATGAAAGACAAAAAAATCAAAGAATAAAAAAAAGAAAGAAAGTAAGGAAGAAAAAAGAAGGAAAAAGAAATACAAAGAAAGAAAGAAAGAAAGAAAGAAAGAAAGAAAGAAAGAAAGAAAGAAAGAAAAAGAAAAGAACGAAAGGAAGAAGAACACGGAAAATGAAAGACAAAAAAATCAAAGAATAAAAAAAAGAAAGAAAGTAAGGAAGAAAAAAGAAGGAAAAAGAAATACAAAGAAAGAAAGAAAGAAAGAAAAAAAGGAGGGGAAAAGGAAGATGATATACAGAATGTATGTGCCAAGTGATATAAAAACAAAAAGAACGTAAACGTTAGTGTATGAGGAGTAGGAAGGAACAGACGTGATTCTGTCATGGACAGTAAGAATGTCCATTCCATTAGCCACGGATAATACTGATAGAAATCCTTCACAGACAGACACACTTGTTGTCGCCGTTGTGGCCACACCCCAGCACACCAGCCACCCCCGTTGTCCACAACATCGCATTTACCAACACGGTCTCAGCTGTCACGTTATTCGTTCCCTCATTCACTCAGCCACCTATTCGCCAATCAAATAGCCACACCCAACCTTCGTCTAAAACCTCCCCAATTCTCTCGCAAAATATCATTCTTTCTCTTTCTTCAGTCCCTAAAACCGCAGCTCTGGCCAGAGACTCATTTCCTTTTCTCTTCTTTTTTATTTTATTTTGCTTCTCTCGATACAATCCCAGCCATCCAAATTGATGACGCAGTCCCACAGTGATATCTTCTTCTTCTTCCTTTTTTTTTTTTTTTTTTCTAAACCACGACCGCCTTTTGTTTCTTTGCCGTTCCTTTATCTCCTCTCTTCCTTTCTCACCGTAATCTAGCACAACACGACTCCGTTTCTGTTGTCGCTCTTTCTTTCCTGTCTACGTGCGCAGCTTCGATCTCGAAATACCTAACCCCGACGTGTGTGCTGCTTCTTTTTGCACGAGCCCCGCCCCCGCCCATTGTTAGAGAATCTCCGCGTCCGGATACACACGATGCCCGTAATTGCAGATGCGTGAGGCAGTGTCTGTGCAGTGAGATTTCATTCTCCACCGTCTTCATTAGTCCAGTTTCAGAACAGCGCCCCCTATAAAGTCTCTTGTATGTATGCACTAAGCTTAGCTTTGTTTAGCACAAGGTCACAAGTGAGGAGCGATCTCACTATTCAGTAACAGTGATCATCTAGACTAGCTTGCTAACCATCAACCCACCCTTTTTATTTCTTCTTTCTTTTTATGCGCCATGTCATTTCAGGACGTAGGCGATCATGGCTCTCCACCTCCCTCTATCCTTTGCAGCTCTCAGCAACTCCTTCCTTTTGCTTCCTCTTCCAGACCATGTTCTGTCATCCAATTGCTTAAGCCCGCCAGGTATGTTTTCCCTTGTCTCTCTTTTCCTCTATTCGACTCGTGTGTATTAGATTCTCCAGACTATCTTCCTCATTATGTATCCCAGCAACTTCAGCTGCCTCTTCCTGATGTTAAGTATAAGCCTCCTCCTTGTTTGCAACCTCTCTAAGACTTCATCGTTGCTCACCCGCTCGGTCCATGATATCCTTAGCATCCTTCTGTAGAACCACATGTCTGTCGCCTCGAGTACTAAGCTTAAATTTGGTACAAGGCCGCAGATATGGAGCGCCCAGGGAGGATCGAATACGCTAGCCAGTAGTAGCTCGTTAATTCTTAGATTATGCCCAGGCGTATTTTTAACATACTTAGTATAGGTATTTTGGTACACAGTGAGGATCGATCTCACTATTCACAAGTAATGAAAAACCAGACAGATTCACTATTACAATATCAATGCACTCTTAAATACACTAAGTTTAGCGATTTTCTGAGCGTTTAGATGTGGCACAAGGCCGAAAGTATGAGGTGTACCTAATGAGGAACACACTAGTTAGTAATAAAGAACAACCACACGAGATCACTAACCATTACATGACATCAATGCATCTGTTAAATACACTAAGTTTAGCAAAAGTCTGGGGCACCCTGTGTGGATCGAATTCACTAATCACCAGTAATGATTTTCATTAACAATTACCACACATCAAGGTACCAATTTAGAATACTAAACTTATATTATTTTGTCACCAAGGTCAAAAATATAGTGAACCACTGAGATTGGAACGCTTTCTACATAGAAGTAATAAACTAGACTCTATCGCTAATCATGACCCCACACCGAGGTAAACATAACGTTCCTTGTTCACAGGCTTTTCTTAAAACGACAGAGAAACCTTATAAAACTGATGATCGAACTCTTTCTAAATAAAAAGAATGATCTAAATTATATCACTAACTTACAAAAATATGGTGTACCACTGAGAATTGAGAACTTTTATCAAAATATTTAATAAATGGGAAGGGAATAGTTGAAAGAAAGAACATGTCAGTTAGTTATATGCCATGCGTGATACACGCTTAGGGAATCATGTATTTTTCAACGCATGACTGACGAAAGTCATCCAAGTTCATAGAACACGTTTTGTACTGCTATTTACCTATAGGTGGTGGGGGAGGAGAAGAGGATTCATACCTTTTCCTAACGGTATTAGCAAGTAAGTGAATGGATTTGACTTGAATTCGAACTCGGCTCTCTGATTCTTTAATCCAAGCTGCTATCCATTACTCCATCGTGCCTCCTATATGCGCAGCGTTAAAAAAAATGATTTACTATTCACACAATTTATGTATTAATGAAAAAAAAGCAAATATGTAAAGCGAGAATAGTTCTCATAGTCCAAAAGTGATCCACCGCCTTTTAGTGGGTGAACAGATATTTATTTCTTAAATTGTACAAAAAGGTTGCACGAATCTTTCGCTGGGTATGGATTGATCAACAAGAAGGATTTGTTGAAACGTTTGTGTTTTTGTTTGATAGAAATATCTTCTGAGATACAGGACGTTCTGTTGCTTTCGTTGAACCTGTGCTTCTTCTGAATAAAGACAATATCGACGATATTGAACAGTGAGGATAAGTAGGGGGAAAAACTGTCGTCATCTTCAAGGCTTTTTACGAGAAGGCGTTCTTATAAAGAGAACACCAGTTATAGATAATTACCAAGTTCAAATACGTTCCACAGAAATAAGAACAGAAAAGAGCCTCGAAAGATGTTATTGCAAAAATATGCATATATACATATATGTTCTATATATTTAGGAAATGTTTCCTTTATTTGGTACAGTGTAACCCGGATATAAGAGAAACCCGGATATAAGAGAGATTTTCTCTGGTCCCAAATTAGAGCCCATACTTACATAAACAAAATAGACCAAACCCGGATATAAGAGAAACCCGGATATAAGAGACTTCTTCTCCGGTTCCGACAACTCTCTTATATCCGGGTTACACTGTATAAAGAAAAAACAGAGCATAGGAAGATTGTGACGCACCAGAGAATATTTTCATATAAAAAAAAATCTCTTTTTTTTATATGAAAAGCAAGCTATTTTCCCTGGTAGATAAGTGTGGACATATCATTTTAATGTCATAACCATACAGGGTGTAGACATTTGTGACTCTCCACAGCTTCCATTTCTTTATTATCTGTGAATTGCTATGGTTTCTGGGAAGAGATAATAGAGTGTTTTCCCATTGTCTTCTCCACGACTTTGAATTCAGTTTTCCTTCTCCGAAACTGGTTGCCACCCATGAGCGAGAGTCAAGTCTGATATAATATTTAATAAATATCTGGGTGGGGGAGAAGAGATGGATTCATGCCTTTCCCAAGCCACAGTACGAAGAAAACGAAAGAGCTTTTACGAATTTGAACTCGTCCCACTGATTCCACTTTCCAATAAAATAGCAGTTACGAGACTTGCACATATCTGTTCTACTATGGGGGTATGATGTTATAAATAATGTATTTGTATTAATATGTCTGGGAGTTATAAGTATTGTATTTGTTGCTTTTTTGTTCGCATAACTTTGTATGCACAAGCGCGTAAACGAGTGTATATATGTACAAGAGAAATAGATTTATTTGAATCTGCTTGCAACTACATTGAAACAGAAACGTATATATATATATATATATATATATATATATATATATATATATATATATATATATATATATATATATATTGTTATGATGTTAATTTGGGGTTAATAAAGACAAACGCCAAATAACATGTAACAATAAAATGGGGTTTATTCGGTTGGTAAGTTGGTACAGATATCGCTTGAGTAGTCTATAACTAACTCAGCCCAGAACTTCTTCGACACTGTCTTTTGACATGCCACTAGTTAACGTCCTTGTTTGTAGACGAGTTCATCTTCAAGAGGGGTGGTAGGTTCCTACACAACATATATATATATATATATATATATATTTGAATGTAGTTTTTTTATACTGGGGGAAACTTTTGAATTGCACATGTCACGCTTGCGTCTACATCTGCGCATGCGTCTAAGTGCGGCTGCTAATAGCACTAAATAGATCTATGAGGTGTTTTCTACAAATTTTGTTGCCCTCTTTTTATTTTTACGCTATTTTTGAGCGGGAAATGGAAAGTACTCAATTTAGTTCTTGAGTTTATTTTCGGACAATCATTTTTTTAGAGCATCCTCAAATCAAAAGCTGTAATTTTCTTCTAAACTTCTCTTTCTCTTTCTCACAACTACTCAGTCATCTCTTCATTGCATTTTTCAATTGAATTCAAAAAGACAACTGGAATCAACATTATTATACGCGAAGTGAAATGCCACCAGCGTCTCTAGCCTCCGAGTCACGTAAAGAAAAACAGTACAATTACCATAGACGCATCATCATCAGAGCTGTTTTGATGACAGATCAGCGTGATTTGTCATCTTCAACACGGCTGCTCGTGTCCGAACATTCCAATCTACTCAGGTCCGTTTGTGTTTCTCGAACACCCACAAAGCCCACCTGTGGTTTACATTGTAACTATGCTGAATGGAGCTGAGATACGCTCCAAGCACCTGCCCCGACCAGGCCACATACCGTTTTGAATTAAGAGTTGTCCTAGACTACGGCTAGAAAGACCAGTCTATTCTGCTATTTATCCCATAGCTATATCATATTTCCCAAGCGCATTTTTAAAAAAAATGAATGCCTTGATCGGAATTTGAACTCGTCTCACCAATTTTTAGTTCCGGGCCTCTAAATATTACACCACCTGGATATCCACCTGCTCATAACCTGTGTATGTAGCTGACTTCAAAATTTTGACCATTATCAAAATATAAAAAGTTGCAATTTTCGTTTGTTGAACAGTGGCTGCGAAACGGGCCTTTTCGATAACGCACCTGGAATTGTGGAGAAACTTTTAGGAGATTTGTAGAGTAATTTTTAAACGAATTCTCATGTAAAG